ATGAGAGCTTGAAAACTAATGAGAGATGAGCTTTCAATTTTATCCTGTGTTCAGTTCTACGCTTCCAGTACAAGATGTCAACAAAGTGCAAGATTCAGTACAGAAACTAAAATAATTAATCCCTGGAGGAAGATGCTTATTAAGAAGGATTAAATCAAAAAATTAATGTGCGTTATTTGCCTATATGACAGAGGAAAGGAGGCATATGATAACTCTCTAGCATATGAAAGCACACAGAGAATATGGATTGCTGATAGAGGGAAAACTTGGACATATTAGGAAAGCAACAAAACAGAAACTCCAACAGAAATTTCAGGCTGAAATATTGCGGCCAATCTCATGCAGCTTTAAAGAAAAAATAAACACCTCAAAGAACCTTTAGATTAATGTTCCTCATTCTCTTTCTCTGCATGAGAACCTAGAGATTAAGGATTAAGGTTAGGCATTGTATGATGAGAAATAATATAAATGCAGAGGAAGAAATGAAGAGCATCAGCTGAGAGCAAACTGGGCTCAGGTAGCTGGGCAGCAGCTGGTGGTACATGTCCTTAGAAATGCAAAATCATGAACGTGAGCTGGACCTCTTCTGAGAGCTCATTCTCTGAGCCAAGGAAACCCAGATCCTTCCAGGGCTCTGCTTCATCCCCATCCAGCAAGGCAGAGGGCAGCTTCAGGCAGCTGGCTGTGGCTGGAAGGAAGCTGGAGGCTCTCCATCCCTCCCTTCGTGGACCAGCCACAAAAACAGATGCCAGACAGACCACCCGGAGACAGCCTGAAGCAAGCTCCTGGCTGCTACAAGTGAAATAACTGCAGGTGGAAGTCCTGTGGAGGGGTAGAGTTTATTGCACGCTCATATAACAGAGCAATGAATCCATATGGAGATATAGAGGGCCTCTTAGGAAACAGTGGGAGGATTTGGTGCTCCTGGTCATTTTGTGGGCACTGAGACAGATGTTCTGGATATCAGACTGCAAGCTGAAACCAAGAGTTTTGTTGTGGCACTGCTCTAATCATTCCCAGCCCCATGAAAGGACAAGTAAGGCAGTGCACAGCTGAGAACATGAGGTATGTGTTCAGGGGGAATGGAAACAGTTTGGACTCACCAGGCATTGGGAAGACTCCAGAATGGATAACGTCTGCACAGGAGAGATCAGTTTCTCAGATGTTATTATGCTGCGTACTGAAAAGGCTATAAAGAATGTTTTAAATAATAGGAGAGGAAGATGCAGAAGGGTAAACGTTGATGTGTGCTGATAAAAGAACATACCAAACACTCAGTGAAAAGAGGACAGCCTGAGGACACTAATAACAGCAGGATGGGAAGCACATGGAAACACCACCCTGCAGGTGGAGAACAGAATCTAGAATTAACTCAGATTAACCATAACAAAAAAGCATACAGCATCCCTCTGGATTCAAGTTCTAGGTATAAATAGGAAAACAACAATATAGGATGATACTGTCAACAACCTGATCAGCATAGCAACAGAGCTACAGTTGCTACAGGGAGAGGAAAAAGGGCCATGAGGACAGGAAGCACACCGTAATGGGAGACAGCCAGCACCCCGTGGGGACTGGGCAAATTCTGTCCTGAGGAGTGCTGCTGAGCATGACTCTTTAGGTATCACTACTGACTGCTTTATGCAGCTCCAACACCAAGTCTTTCTGTCAGCAGTGTGGCTGAACTGTTACTGGTGTTGAAAATACTGACCACAATGTGCTTGTGTTCAATGAGAGGAGGCAGGAACAACAAAACCTGCAATATTTCTACTGCAGTTCTCACTTACAGAAAGGACAACTACGTAAGAGTAAAGAAACTTGTTAGAGAAGAATTGAATGGGCTCATTATAGGTACCACTGAACTATCTAAAGAGAGAGTCTTGAAAGCCCACAGCAAATACATACCATCCATCCATCCAAGGAGTTCAGAAAGAGCAAATGAATGTCGGCTTTGCTAAACAACACAACAAGGGATGGTTATTTGAAGTATACAGGCATCCTTCCAGTAATAAAAGTAAAAATTGAAGCTGAGCCCAAATTAGTAAAATCGAAATGGTCAAATTGGCAGATTAAATGTAAAAACACAATAAGATAAGGTAAAGAAGGATCTGAGGAATAACTTGCAAAAACATAAAAACCTTATCCTAGAAACTTCCTCAAATTGATCAAGAGCTGAAAATTCATCAGGAAATCTAAATCAATTATCAAGATTATCAAGATGTAAAGGAGCACTCAGAGTCAGTACCATAGCAGCAAATGAAATGAGGTTCTTCAAAACATGCTCACCTTGGAAAACCTGAAGGAGGCCCCTTTGAAGGAACTCTCCCCATCTAAGGTTGTGCTGAGAGATTAATTTCAAACTGAAAGAAGGTTATAAAATGGAATCTACAATAAAGAGGTTATAGGACTCCATATTGAGAAAACTTACAGATGAAACAAGCTAGCTACCACCTGGGTCATAGCTTGCTCAAACCTGCTTCAGAACAAGGGGAATGAGTGCAACTGAAATACAAAGGCAGCTTTTAAGAAAAACTCCAAGAGCGATTTTGGGTACAAAGACCAATAATCCTGACAGACAGTGGAGTACTGCTTTGTGCAATGCACACTTCACTTGTGGAACTTCTTGCAGCAGGATAAGTCTACCAAAACAAGCACCAGAGAAGGCTACTAAAGCCAAGAAACCAAAGATAACCATTCACCACTGACTGGTTTTGGAGACAAGATAAGGGCTTGCACAGACACTGGCCCAGTGCAGTATAGCCATTCATATGATCTGATCTTTCCCTTACCTTAACAACCTCCCATTTTTTAAGGTTTTTTGATGCCAATGCATTTCTTGGTATTTTCTTCTCCCACTCCCTCCAATAAAACATTTCTTTACTGTCAGAACTGAAGAACAGGAGCATCTCCTCTGCCCATTCCTTAAACTATGGCTCCAGTAACCATAAACTCTTTACCAAACTTATGCTGCAGAACGTACAATATTTACATGTACAGATAAAACTCCACAGGATCTAATCACAGCTAGATTCTGACTGCAGAAACATGAGAAATCTGCAGGAGTGGAAGCAGAAGGTGGGCTGCAATCCCTGAAAATAACAAGAGTATGGAAAGTAAATGTAAAGACAGAAGCAAAAAATCAGTCTGAATATCTTCCAGTACTACAAGAAATCAAATTGTATATCACATCTCAGTGGACTAATGTATTCACACCAGCAGAGCTAGATTAGGGCCACCACACATCCTGATGAGCTTACAAATGGCCTCTGTTTATTTGGACATTACTATTACAGCTGGAAAATATTAGGGAAGTTTTCGAGGAGGTGCTTTCCATACTCTATGTGTCATCTATAAAACATTGTGGCTTTGTTATTTAAAGTTGCCTGTAAATCTCATGAGATTGCTTTATAATTAAACAGACATTATTAATTTAGGCTACTAGGTTGGGAGAAAAAACATTTGCAGCTTTTGAGCCAGCAGTGCTAGCAAACTTCTCAATCTTGATTGCCCAAACATAGTTACAAGAATCAGGAGTATGAAACAGAGAAAATTCTGTGTAGGAAAGCCAAAAAGCCAGTTATCTCCCATTATAAATGAAAAAAAAAAAAAAAAAAAAATTAGTTTACATAGTTTACAAGAGACGTTACCAGACCATCTGCATCATCTCCACCAGTCAGTTACTGCAGTCCTCCCTCTAAGTCCTGCCCAGAGCAACAACAAACACCCAGCAGAGGACAAAACATAGCTGCCCTATGTTTCCTGAGGGCATCCAAGTGCTGCTGAGGCCCATGGTGACATGGTCCATGCAGGCCCTGCAGATGACACATCACTAATGCAGCCAACCCACCTGCAGCGCAGGCAGATGAGCACACTGGAGGAAAACCATGGCTATGTGATCACAGAGCCACAGAGGTTCACGTCATCTTCCAACACTTCTGAAGAACTATGAAGGGAGTAAATAGCATCGTGGCTTTTCCCACTCAACTGGCCACTAACATGATACAGGTTAGAGACAGCACCATCGGGAGCCCAAGAGACAAAGTCAGGAAGATCATGGAATGAATGCATAGGAAACTATCAAATGGAAGTTAACACTGACCAGAAAAAAACCTGAAAGGCTTTCGCAGAAGCGTTTAACCAACCCACACATCCTATAAAGTCTTAAATTAGCTCTTGCCAACTCACATGAGGAGTGGATGACTATTGCTGCAAGTTCAATGAAGATTTCCTCTCCCTCTCCAGAGAAAGTAAACCAGCACATCTGGAGAGGAAAAAAAATGGGGGGGGAAGGGGGTTGATGTCTGAAGATGGAATAAAAAAAGACAAGACAGATGGCATTGTTATTCTGTTATACAAGTCAGTGGCATAGTTGCATTGAAAATACCGGATTCAGGATGCCTGCAAATACACCCAAACCAAAATGTTCCCATAACAATTGAGTGGGAATGATCAGGACCTCTAAAACCACTCTTATTTCAGCAGAGAGACCAAAGGCATGAAGTTTTTTTTTTCCTAATATGAATGAGAAAGACAGAGAAAAACGGTGCAGTAAGAAGCACCTGAAAGTTGTCTCTTCATTTCATAATAAAGAGTAAGAGAGGACTATCAATTGAATTAAAGCATAATTTCCCCTGCCTCCCCCTCCCTACAACAAATTGCACAATAAGTCCATATTTTTCCTTCTCCAGCTGACATCTCATAGCAAATTAAAGACCTATAATACAGAGAGGAGCCTCAGAAACCCCAGGGTGCCCCAGAAAGAACAGAAGCAGGTCTGGACTTCTTGGTCTTGGACTCCCGCCAGACCAAAAGACTTTGTCAAATTAAAATGCCCAGATGATCCTAAAGAGAAAATCTCTTTTAGTTTATTTTTGTAACCAGTGATATTACTTTGTATTTACAGGTTGAGTTTATATTGGTACGTTTTTTGTTTTTACAAGTCTGTATTCCATCTGACCCTGGTTTCACAGTGCTTACACCTACTGTGACAGTTTTACAACCTGTTGTAGCTGCCCCACGCAATATGGCCAGAGCCAAGCTGTTCTTTTGGTAACACCATCAGGTTTCATAGCTCTCCTTCAACAGGTCTGAAATTCTATTTAAGTTCCTCATCTCTATGGTAACTGCAAACCCTACAGAGCCTCGCAGCACCGTGCCGGAGGAAAGCAATCCCTGCTCCTTCTCTGGGGAACTGGGGTGCAGGAAAACTGGATGACTTGCCTGGGGACGAACAGGAGCTCTGTCGCAGAGATACGAAGTTGTCTCCAAATCTCCTCAAGGCCAAACCAGGAGATTTCAATGCAGGAATCCTGAGATACCCTTCTCCTACCAGCACAACCTCATGCTCCATGCAGTTCTCACCACAGTCACTTCCAACCACACTGCTGTTCTCAGCTTACAAAGCAGGAGCCTGAATGGGTACATCTTTGCATGCTCTATCCCCTTGCTGCAATGATTGCAGCAGTGAATAATATTCCCTTCCAGCCTGCTGCTGCCCCAGAGTGCCCCGTGCCCACCGCCAGCCCCGCCATCAGCCCATGCTGGTGGCTGCACGGCGACGAGGAGCTGAAGGCATTTCCAGTTGCATGGGGCTCATCCGGACTCTGGGGAAGCAGGAATTTCGCGAAGCTATAAAAGTTGTTTTAAAAAGTTTTCCAGATTTTATCATTTTTCACAGAGTCTGCAGTTCTCCTTCCTGGCTTTTGAAAAACGACGCCCAGCTGCGCACTGGCTGGGGCTCCTGGCAGCAGGCGGGTATGCTGGGCCCAGGCATGGGCAGACCTCACCCCGAGGCCCAGGTTCTGTCAGTGGGGACAGGGCCACCACTGCTGGGTGCAGCCCCTCAGGCTTACAGCACACCTATTAAGCTATTTAATGCTCTCCTGAGCAGGATCAGTGTGAAGAAGTGAACAAAAACATGGAAGGCCCTGGAGGTGACATGAGAGAAAAATCTACTGAGTGTTGCATTTGACTCCCTGCATTAAGGCAATTTTCTTTCTCATATTTTTTACTTTTTTGTTTGGTCTTGTTTTGCTATTTTTGGTGTTATCCAAGCACCTGACAATTTTCAGGAACTTGTTTTCACATCCATTTTTTTCCCCAGATTCTGAACATATTTTCTGCCTTTTCCAAAGAGCTCGTCGGGCTTCACGTAGCTGCAGAACAGATGGCACAATGCTTAGATTTTCTTTAGCAAATGGACAAATGCAATTGCTTTGTTCTTTTCCTCTTGCATCTGCACTTTGGAGAGATGTCTGCCCTGCAAGCCAAGCAGCCATGGCCCAGGCACAGCCATGGGCTCTCACAGCGGTGTGGGACCTTGCATTCTCCTCACTCCAGGAGCAAACATCTCCCCATAGGCAGCACAGCAACCAAACACAAACACCCAGCTTCCCTGCAGATCTACAGGAAAAACAAACCTTGGGAAAACACAAAAGCCCAAGGGGACGTAGGGAGAGTGAGAGCACAGAGCCCATGTGGAAGCTCACGTAGAAGAGCCTGGGGATAAGTGCTGTAATTTTTAGCTGTATTTCAACCACTTAGAGCAGCCTTCAATCAGTCAGAATTATAATATGTTGAAGGAACCTGTTTCATCTTGGAAAGCCAGAGGCCACTTCGTCTTGTGACAGCAGATTGATCAGAGCCAGCTTCTGGAACAACACAGCCAGAATTAACCCCTGGCCTGCCAGCTGCTCTCCCATGCTGGCAGACAAACACAGTGGGTACTCTCTGAATGTTTTAACCAGTGACCAGTGGAACAATCGTCCTGTTCTCTGAAAATCTAGGTGTCACTAGGCCACATCATGCCTACATAGAGGACCCTCCCCACGTGTGAGGGCATGCAGGGCATCTCCAGGAGAGGTTCCTCAGCAAGGTGCCTGGAGGAAAACTGGACCAGAGGGCCTCACAAGAGAGAGCAAAATGATCAGTTGCTATTTCCAGCTGATCACAGCAGCAGCCAGATGCATGTCTGAAAGAAGTTCAAGCTACAGGGACATTTCCAATCACTCTGCTTGGTCTTACTAAAAAGGCTTAACCCATGAAGCCTTCACATGGGATGCTTGCTTTCTTCCCATTCTGGGAAGAAATGCCTTTCCTCCTCCACGTCACCAGCTCATTTCAGAGGGACCAAAGTGAAGAACTTCAACATACTTTGATTCATTAAAGAATTTCCAAATAGCCCTAAAACACATTTAGAAATCTGTGAGTTACATGAGGAAATGTCATTCTTCAACCCATGGGGATTACTTCAGAGGAGGAGAGTAAAAGGAAGGTTAGCTAGCCCTGAGGTCTAGCTTAAGGAAGAAAGTAGCCTATGAAGAGAGGGATAATAAAAACACCTGTGTGCTCCCAGAGCTCAGACTGCCTTTGGTTCTGCAGTGAGGTTCATGATCCTCAACATATTATGTGTCTAAATGCCTTTGCTTTAACAGACAACACGACTACGGACAAGATTTTAATCATACTAACATATCCTTGCACCAAATGCTTTTAGCATGAAGCAACTTGTTCATCCACTCACTAGCTTCTACATCTCTAAGTGTGTTTTGGCCCTAACACTGGTGTACAGAAAATGAAACTGAGCTCCCCACAACTGCTGCTCTATGAGCTGTAGTTACCTTAGGCAAAGAGAAGGAGAAGAAGAGGGGGAATCAAAACTTTTCATTCAAATCTTTTTTAAAGGTTTTCTTACAGGTTTTTTTCCTATTAAATGTTACGGTTTTTCAGTGGAAAGGAAAAAGGAACTGTAGCTCCATCTCTTAGAAATTGAAAACCGATTTTTAATTTGATTTTCTCCAAGACCCAGCTTACACCTCAAGAGTGAACAAAACTTTGCTTTTTTTCCACAGTTTAAAGAGATGTTTTAAAATTAGCACAATACTTTAAAATTAATTCCATTTGAAAAAACAGGCACAACTTCAGCTTTCTTGCAAGCACCTACTGAAGTAACACGTGATTATGCAAATCACAACCAATATTTTGGTGCCAAAAAATAGCTCAGCTGAGAGATGTCCAAACCTTGGAAAATAGGGGTTACGGAGTAGACAACAGATTTTTCCTTTCCTTTCAGCAGCTGTTCTCATTTCCTTCCTTTTTCATTTCCTTGGAAAGGAATCAATTAAGAAACAAACATTTCTTCAGCTTCTGCACCATCCTTCTTATTGTTTCTGTCTTACAGAGGAAACTAAATGGCACCTTAAAAATCCTCCTAACGTTTCATTTCAGAAAGCAAAGTCACCTGGTGTGGCCAGAGCTCAGTGCTGACTCAGCTCCTGTGCCCAAGCAATGAGCCAGTTGTAAAAGCAAAACCTCAAGAAGTACAAACATAAGGTAGAGCAATTGATTTTTGCAACTCTCTTATTCTTGTATCTTGACTTGTATGAGACTCTCCAGCAACCGAGATGCTCGGCACAAGTGGAGGATGTGTGCAAAATGGGGGTTTTCCTATTTTGCAAAGTGTTTCATAGGGGAAAACTTCTGAAACACCCATTTATTTTTAAATTCCTTTTTGTCCTCTGCCAAGGGAAACAAGGCACTTGTAAATTTGTGCTCAGTTCTTGTACAACTTTTATAGACGGTTAAAATTAACAAGCAGGGACTCCTAGCTACACCTCATTAAAAAGAACTGAAATTTAATTAAATATTTGCATGCATAAGTATGTAAACCTGCTTTTCAAACCTGCAAGAAAGTATGCATTAAAGAAATATACTTTTGTCTTTGCATGCATTTCAGACACAATGTGCCTCCCCTACCACCTCATTTAAGCATGTAGAACATCAAATTAAAACAGGTTATGTTAATCTCCTCTATTATTAACCAAGAATCTTCTGTACAGATTTGAATATGTTTACTCTGTCAAAACCTACATACTGTGATCTACACTTAAGAGCAATATTCAACACCTACATAAATGGAGAAAAAGCAGGAAGAGGGTTCTGCAAAGCAAATGAGCAAATGCTAAATAGATCCCATTATATTGCTCTGACACTGTTGCCGTGCAAAAGAGAGAGTAAATATTGAATAAATAGCATTACCATTTATTTTTGTTGAAGGAGCTCAGGACTGAACAGTTAGGTATTAAGTAAGTATGCAGCCCACAAAGAGCTTCCAATCAAGCTACAAACCTGAGTACAAGGACTAAATATAAAAAACACAAGTAGGGTAAACATCAGGCAATCAGAAAGAAATACTGTCTGCCAATAAGCAGTAACTGGAGCCTTTATCTCACAAAAGTCTAAGCATAAAAGTGCATGGAGCAGAATGGCTCAGCTGCTGTTACAGCCCAGCTCACGCACCTGCCTCGCAATGGCTGCGTGTCGCATGGGTACAAGCCAGGGCACAGAGCCCCAGGGGCTGGCTCCATATGGGAGGCACATGGCCATGCACAGAATGATGGAAAAGCATCACAGGCCCCAACAGATTGCCTGCTATCATTTCAAATGTGACAAACGATCCCTGTGGGCAGTGCTATTTCAAGAAGTCTACCTGGCATGGGAACACGTTCTGCTAGTTTGTGTTTTCCTCAAGCTGCACTTTCACTGCTGATCCAGCAACCGAAGGTGTAGTTGGGGTAACTGGCAAAGATGTCTTGAAGTTCTTGATGGACTTTAAATTTATAATGATCATTTCATCCCTGCCAGTCAGACTGGGAAGAGGGGCAACGTGACATAGGATGCCTCATAAGGTCAGCATCACTTCCCAGCTTACCAGAGTCACCAGCCTCAGCACAAAATAATAAGTCCACCACCAGAGCTACTACAGACAGCAGACCTCACGTAAGCAGGATACAGCATTGTCAAATAAGCAGGAGTATACATGTCTAATGCCTTTAATTTTCTATTCATAAACTGGTGCAGTAATAAAGCCCATTATAATAGGTAAAAGAAAGATTGAAGCAATTTCTACACGTCAGTGTGCTTAAAAGCATGGTATGAGCTTCTAGATTTGAAAAAGTGTGAAGATGCATTGTTCTCATTAGCTGAGGAATTTTGGAGGCAGTTAATTCTTGCTACTGTGACAAAAATCAAAACAGAGATCTACTTAGATAAAATCTGGTCTTCGACAGGTGTGGCATGGACTTTTCCTGACTCATTACTGGGAGTGGAAAAAAAGTCAGATCTCTTCTTTGTTCATTCAAAAAGCTTAGGCCTAAAAGAAGCAAATAACAAGTTATGTTCCTATGGTGGAAACAGCCTTCACGTCTCAGTTACTCTGAAAATCAAAGGTTAAGTTTCAGAGTAGGTGGAATACAGGAAAAGAAAAAAAAAAGCTTCTGTTTATGTTTGTTAATGAAATTGCTTCATCTGCCTTCTAACAAAATATGGCTCTGGCAGAACAGCTGGCCAGAACAGGAAATCCTGGCAAATACTGCAGTATTCTCGCAGACTGATGAATTAGAATACTCTCAAATCTTAAGTAATTCTTTCAACAAATGAACATATAAATAAATAGACAAGTTATGATATTCTAATCACAAAATGGAAAAATAATCCCTGGAATTTCTGTATCTAGCATTGTAACTAAGCTTCTGACTATCAACTATTCACAAGAAATCGCTTTTGTATGAGCTACAAACTAAGGATTCCCAACAGGAATTATTTGGTGCATAATTTCAATCAACAACTACATTCAGACAAGTCATGCCTTATTACCTATGCCAGGCAATTCAAGGCGAGGCCGGATAAGGCTCTGGGCAATCTGACCTAGCTGTGGTGTCCCTGTTCATTGCAGGGGAGTTGCACTACATGGCCTTCACAGGTCCCTTCCAACACTAAGGATTCTTTGATACTACGAATTCACAAAAAGAAGGTGACATCCATAAGATAAGTACTCTTTATGACTTATTCACCCTATTCTAATATCTTTTTCAGAATTTCCAATCTGCTCATTAAACACTACTGTAAAAGTTCAAGACCATGCTCATAAAAATAAACTTAATGTAACTGAATCCTGAAAGACTGAGCATACAAGGCTCAGTCATTACAGCCAACTGCACCCAAAATTCCCATTTTACACAAATGCTGAGTGTGGTTTTGAACCTTCCTGCAGTTCAAAAGACATACTAACACCTGGATTACGAATGCCATC